AAGCCGGTCAGGGAACGCCCCAGGTGAGCAGCCCACGCCCCACTGTTGCCCCTGCCACCTGGTCGGGGCCAAGAGCTGGGGAGCATCGATTCACGAGGAACAAGGTACTGCGCTCATCTCATTCCCACCAATGGAGGCTCTGGGTTTGCAGCAAGATGCAGGCCTCCAGGGACTGCTGAGTCCTCAAGCCTTAATGACAAGGGAATGGGCATATTTTCCTGGCTCCCATTCCAGGTACCCACAGGAGCAGACATGACATGACACGACACGACACAGGCAGGCACAAGGATCCCCTTGTACAGTCAGAGCCTAAGGTGAGCTGAGTGCAGGCCTGGCAGCAAGGGGTGGGAGAGCACTAGCTGCCTGTCTGAGAGCAGCTCCCTCCCTGCCCTGGGACAGGACACCTTGCTTCTCTGCGCCTGTTTCTGCAGTTACAGAGGGAGGCTCTGCTGTCTCTCTGCCTACCACAGGAGCAGGCTGCTGTGACGCTGCCCCAAATCCTCAGCATTTGAAAGGTGCTGGTATGACAGCACCATGGAACACGCACTTCTTGGGGAGCCACGTCGACTGTCCCCTGCCAGTGCAGTGGTCTCTTGGGCAGCACTGGAAGGCAGAATGCCAATTTGGTCTCTAATGCAGCCATCCTCGTGGCATCGCACCAAGGCATTTCTCATTGCAGCACCAAAGGTTTCCCCCTTTTTTAACAAGTGTCTTGTTGCTTTCCTTCAGACGCCTCAGCTTGCTGCCGTTCTGGATAACAGACTGATCCAGCACTGTGGGCAGGAGCAGGAGTAGTGAGGGCAAAGGGAGGGAAGTGCTGGAACATACAGGAGGGACCTGCGTAGCTGGTGGCTGCGCCTCTGACCCCGGCTGCCCCTCACTTGCTCTGAGGAGCAGGCTGCCAGCATCTGCCGGGCAGGACTCTTCATCCCACTGACCTAGAAAGCCCTACTCTAAATTAATGGCTTGTGCAACAGAAAGAGATGGAAACCTCCTGGGCAGGGTCCGTTCCCAGCCCTCTCCTCAG